GAGGACGAACAGGTGTGTGTGTGTGTGAGCGTTGCAACGTGAGGTTGCCACCGCCAAACCGCCGGTAATTAAGGGGAGAAGCGGGTACAACTGAGGACGAACAGGTGTGTGTGTGTGAGCATTGTAATGTGAGGTTGGCACCGCCAAACCGCCGGTAATTAAGGTGTGAAGCGGGTACAACGGAGGACGAACAGGTGTGTGTGTGAGCGTTGTAATGTGAGGTTGTCACCGCCAAACCGCCGGTAATTGAGGGGAGAAGCGGGTACAACTGAGGACTAACAGGTGTGTGTGTGTGTGAGCGTTGTAATGTGAGGTTGGCACCGCCAAACCGCCGGTAATTAAATGGAGAAGCGGGTACAACTGAGGACTAACAGGTGTGTGTGTGTGTGTGAGCGTTGCAACGTGAGGTTGTCACCGCCAAACCGCCGGTAATTAAATGGAGAAGCGGGTACAACTGAGGACTAACAGGTGTGTGTGTGTGTGTGAGCGTTGTAATGTGAGGTTGGCACCGCCAAACTGCCGGTAATTAAATGGAGAAGCGGGTGCAACTGAGGACGAACAGGTGTGTGTGTGTGTGAGCGTTGTAATGTGAGGTTGGCACCGCCAAACCGCCGGTAATTAAATGGAGAAGCGGGTACAACTGAGGACTAACAGGTGTGTGTGTGTGAGCGTTGTAATGTGAGGTTGGCACCGCCAAACCGCCGGTAATTAAATGGAGAAGCGGGTACAACTGAGGACTAACAGGTGTGTGTGAGCGTTGTAATGTGAGGTTGGCACCGCCAAACCGCCGGTAATTAAATGGAGAAGCGGGTGCAAACGAGGCCAAGCAGGTGTGCGCGTCGAGGCAGCAGGTTGGCCTCGGGGAGACGAGAGACGGGAGACGGGGGGAGCGATGAGAAGGGAGGAATGAGGGCAACAGGCGACGTGGCGGCGGCGGCCTAAGGCGGGAGCGTGTGACGACTCGGAATAAGGAGGGATATACAAGCGGCGGCGCGTGTGAGCGCAGTCAGAGTTGCCCGGGAACCAAGAGTGAAGATGGGTGAGCAGTGTTGAGGCAACGTGGCTGAGGGCAGCCGTGGAGATGCAGAGTTCTAAGAGTCACTGATTGCAGAGTTGCCGTGTGCGGAGTTGCTGAGTGCAGGATAGACGAGAGCGGGGAGAAGTCAAGTGTATGCGAACGTGAAGATAGGTATAGGAGTGCCTACAAACTGGCGAGAGAACAGCGGAAATAAAGTGCGAACAGGCGACTTCTCACTATGTGTCGGTGTGAGTAATGTTTACACGGAGGCCCGTAGACTCACACAGAGACCCACAGACTCACTCACACAGAGACCCACAGACCCACTCACACAGAGACCCATATACTCACGTAGAAACCTTATAGACCCACCGACACATGACCCAGTCAATGCAGCCTTGGCTGCCGGAGGAGCTCACCAATGGGACTTTGTCCAGATCTTTCGAGGATTTGTGAGCTCCTCACACAATCCAGCCTGGTGGTTAAACCCCAGGATGGATCGTAGGCAAGCCAGCCTAAATGTCTCCAACCGGCGAAGATGCTCCATTGAGGGGGTCCACGTTTCGCAAGCGTAGAGAAGGGAGGGAATGACCGTGGCCGAGAAGACCCGAAGCTTCGTGCGGAGCGACAGACCAGGTAGCTTCTACACAGCGTTACGCAACAGATGAAAAGATATTGACGCTCGACTTATTCGGAGTGAGACCTCTGCTGTTAAACCGGAGCCGGTCATGAGCACACTGCCCAGATATGGGAAACTCTCCACTCTCTCCACAACTGCCCCATCACCAATTGGGATTTGGGAAGGGGGGGGGGGGGGTGGAGTGCTTCTGAACCTGGCACGCTCCAGGTTGAGCAGCAGCACCTCAAACTCCTCCTCTGAGTGAGCAGCAATTACCAGATCATTGGCGTACGTAATGTGGTTGACCAATAGGGAGCCATTCCTTGACCGCACCCAGGCATCGAACAGCCTCCTGTTGCATCTGCACCAGATGGAAATTCCTCTGGTACATCCATCGAAGGCTTCACGAACTACGTGGTCGAAATAGATGTTAAATAATGTGGGAGCCAGAGGACATCCCTGTCACACCCCAAGGTATACAAGGAATGACTCACGTAGTTTTACCCGGGCCCGCTCACCATCATGAAGGTCCAGAGCCCAGGCCTACTCTGGTATCAGAGGCCTTGACCAGGTCAATAAAGCAGAGATGTAGGTCTTGCTGGAATTCCCTAACCCTCTGCTGTAGCAGACGGACAGAAAATATGGCATGTGTGCAGGACCGGCCTTTCCTGAAACCACATTGGGGCTCCGCAAGCCTCTCCTCAGCGTGCCTGTCAAAGCGATGTTGAATAATCCTTGCCAGGACCTTTCCCGGCACACTGAGGAGTGAGATGCCCCTGTAGTTGTTACAGTCTGTGCGGTCCCCCTTCTTAAAGAGGGGGACCACCAGGGCATCCTTCCAATCCTGCGGAACCCGTGCAATGGTCCAGACTGTTGTTATGATGTCATATAGGGCAGTCTGTGCACAAACGCCACCCTCCCTCAGCATTTCGTCTGGGAGATCATCTCTACCCGGTGACTTTCCTGGTCTCAGACTCCGGAATCCCGTTCAGTTATTCCTCAACAAATGGCACCTCAGCCAGCCACTCACAGGGGGTGACTTCTTCCAATATTTGAGGCAATGCAGCCTCAGCAGGGTCATCCCCACTTTATGCCACGATGTTTTCCAGGCTGAGGGATTTCCCCTCCCACAAAACCTCACAGAAATGCTCAGCAGGTTACTTTTTATTATCGCGTGCCACTGAGGCAGACTCCATCTTCTCAGCAACCCGTGACCACCACCCATCCTTGCAGCGCCTCACGGCTCTCCCAACCTCCGAGCGAAGGCTGCGGTAAGCCTCCTCATTCTCTGACGTGGGATTCTGCAGACGATGACAGTGGGCCTGTCGCTTTTTCTCAACCATCCTGAACACCTCCTCTGTCAGCCAGGGTCTCTGGGGAGGTCTGGACCATGTACCCAAAGCAGCCATTGCAGCTGCATGAGTCACAGTCCTAAACCTCGCCCATTTACCCTCGACATCAGGAGGAGTCGGGGACGATGCTAATCCCAGCTGCAAGAGATGATGAAATTCTCGCTTGCAACTTTCATCAGCTAGCTGAGACCAGGCCACCGTGGGTTTGAATGGGGTCCTGGGTGTACACCCACCACCAGAGTGGAAGAATGGGCGGCGCATCTTACAGATGGCAAGTCGATGGTCAGAGGGCAGATCAGCTCCACGGTAGGTCCCGGTGTCAAGGACATGGGCTCGCATCCGCTGGTCCATCACTATGTAATGCAGCAGATGTTCTTACTTGGACCCGGCATGCATCCATGATGTTGTGTGGATGCGCCGATGCCGGAACAGCGTGTTGGTAATTACAAGCCCATGGGCTGCACAAAAATCTAGCAGCCTCCTAACGTTTGTTATTGAGCTGATCTAGCCCATGACCCTCCAATCACTCCAGACCAGGTGCCAGCATCATGACCAACTCGGGCATTGAAGTCACCCAACAAGATGACTCTATCCCAAGGGGCCGCTTTAGCCAGCACCTGTGACAGGAGGTCATAGAAGGCATCTGACTCATTCATCAGCCTTGTCTGCATCCGTCCACGGAAGTTCGTCTTCGGTGGGGGCTTAAGTAACCACGACCACCACTCCTCGCCTCCGGTGGATGGGAATGCGAGCCCAAAGTAGCCTGGGGCTTACAGCTTCCCACACCTCACCGCCACGCTCCCACGCCCCCTTCATTCTTTCGTTCAGAAGAAGAGCCACACCCCTGGTGTTTGGCAGTCTGCTGCCCCGAGTAGAGGACTGTCCACCCCTCATGGTGGCAGGAGCCAGAGCCGGTCCACCGGACCTCCTGAATACCACAGAGATCCAGGTGGTACCGGCCCAGCTCCCGACAGAGGAGTGACAGCCTCTCCTCCGAACTTTCCACGTGGCCACCCGTAGTGGCTGTTCGTTGTTTCTGGAGGAGCCCCGAGGGTAGAGATTCAATCTCCTGGCTCCGCCAATTGGGGTTTGGCCAGGAGACGTCATAGACGCCTGTCCCCCCGGGGGCCTCCATGACAGACTCACCACACAGATACCCACAGACTCACACAGAGACCCACAAGAGATGAGACAGGGGCTGGAGCCTGTTGTGATGAGTCGTATCGTGGTTTATTTCACGTGAGCACAGTGGGGGGTTTGTGATGGGGTCACAAACTCTAAACCCCTCACACTAACTCAGTCATTCAGTTCCTCACTCCATCACCCACCCACTCACCCTCCCACCCACCCACTCCCCCCACCCACTCACCCACCCACCCTCCAACCTACCCACCCACCCACTCACTCACCCACCCACTCACTCACCCACTCACACACCCACCCTCCAACCTACCCACCCACCTTCCCATCCACCCACTCCCCCCACCCACCCACCCTCCAACCTACTCACCCACCCACCCACTCACCCACCCACGCTCCAACCTACCCACCCACCCACTCACCCACCCACCACATCACTCATACACCCACCCATTAACTGACCAACTCATTCACTCACCCACACACCCACACACCTACACACCCACTCAGTCACCCACCCACCCTTCAACCTACCCACCCACCCACTCACCCACTCACCCTCCAACCTACCCACCCACCCACTCACCCACTCACCCTCCAACCTACCCACCCACCCACCCACTCACCCACCTACCCACCCACTCTCCCATCCACCCACTCACCCACTCACCCTCCAACCTACCCACTCACCCACCCACTCACCCTCCCACCCACCTCCCCCCCCCCCCACCACTCCACCCACCCACCCACCCCCCCCCCCCCCCACCACTCCACCCACTACCGCTCCGCGTTGCCACGGTTGAAGAGATCCCAGATGCTGATCCGACCGTCGGAGCCTCCGGCCGCCAGTAGGTAGCGCAGGGGGGGTACCCTAACCCCCGTCGCCATGGCGACCTCCCCCGTCGCCACGGAGACCTCCCTCGTCGCCCCGGCAACCTCCCCAGTCGCCCCGACGACCTCCCCCGTCGCTACGGCAACCTTCCCAGTTGCCACGGAGACCCTCCCCGTCGCCCCGGCAACCTCCCCAGTCGCCACGGAGACCCTCCCCGTCGCCCCGGCGACCTCCCCCGTCGCCACGGAGACCCTCCCCGTCGCCCCGGCAACCTCCCCAGTCGCCACGGCGACCTCCCCCGTCGCCACGGAGACCCTCCCCGTCGCCCCGACAACCTCCCCCGTCGCCCCGGCAACCTCCCCAGTCGCCACGGAGACCGTCCCCGTCGCCCCGGCAACCTCCCCAGTCGCCCCGGCAACCTCCCCAGTCGCCCCGGCGACCCTCCCCGTCGCCCCGGCGACCCTCCCCGTCGCCGCGGAGACCCTCCCCGTCGCCACGGAGACCGTCCCCGTCGCCACGGCGACCTCCCCCGTCGCCCCGGCGACCTCCCCCGTCGCCCCGACGACCTCCCCCGTCGCCCCGGCAACCTCCCCAGTCGCCACGGAGACCCTCCCCGTCGCCACGGCGACCTCCCCCGTCGCCCCGGCGACCTCCCCCGTCGCCCCGGCGACCTCCCTCGTCGCCCCGGCAACCTCCCCCGTCGCCCCGACGACCTCCCTCGTCGCCCCGGCAACCTCCCCCGTCGCCACGGCGACCTCCCTCGTCGCCCCGACGACCTCCCCCGTCGCCACGGCAACCTCCCCCGTCGCCCCAACGACCTCCCCCGTCGCCACGGCGACCTCCCTCGTCGCCACGGAGACCCTCCCCGTCGCCCCGGCGACCCTCCCCGTCGCCACGGAGACCCTCCCCGTCGCCCCGGAGACCCTCCCCGTCGCCACGGAGACCCTCCCCGTCGCCCCGGAGACCCTCCCCGTCGCCACGGAGACCCTCCCCGTCGCCACGGAGACCCTCCCCGTCGCCACGGAGACGGCGGGGTGGAGCAGGCCGAAGGCGAGCGAGGAGACGGGACCCGAGTGGAGTGACAGGGAGGCCACGCGGCGGAGGGGCGGGCGGAGCCCAGCACCTGATGTGGTGGTGGTGGTGGAGGTGGAGGTGGTGGTGGTGGAGGTGGAGTCGTGGTTGTCCACCATCCCCACTCCGCTCCTCCCCCTCGCCCCCGCCCCGCGCCCCCAGCGGTAGAGGTGGAGTCGCCCGTCCCAGCGAGCCACCACCAACACTCGCCCATCCGGGCGCACGCTCACGACCGCGACACCTCCACCACCACCACCATTACCACAACCACCACCACCACTCACACCACCACCACCACCACCACCACCACCACAACCACCATTACCACCACTCACACCACCACCATCACAACCATTACCACCACTCACACCACCACCACTACGACTCACACCACCACCACCACCACCACCATTACCACAACCACCATTACCACCACCACCACCACCACCATCACAACCATTACCACCACTCACACCACCACCACTACGACTCACACCACCACCACCACCATCACCACCACCATCACCACCACCACCACCACCATCACAACCACCACCACCACCATCACAACCATTACTACTCACACCACCACCACCATCACAACCATTACCACCACTCACACCACCACCACTACGACTCACACCACCACCACCACCACCATCACAACCACTAACATCACTCACACCACCACCACTACGACTCACACCACCACCACCACCATCACAACCACTCACATCACTCACACCACCACCACCACTACTACTCACAGCACCACCACCACCACTCACACCACCACCACCACTCACACCACCATTACCACCACTCACACCACCACCACCACTCACACCACCACCACCACTCACACCACCACCACCACCATTACCACCACTCACACCATCACCACTCACACCACCACCACCATCCTCTGCCTACGCACAGAGAGGGGCAGAGGGAGGGGGAGGGAGGGAGGGAGTGAGTGAGGGTGACGTCACCACGGCGACTGTACCAGGCTAGGTGCACTACGTGGAGTGTGGAAGTGTCACTGCAGGCAGGTCACGTGACAGACCCTGCAGGTGGCACGGTTTGTACTGCTGTGCCAGGCTAGGTGCATGAGGAGGAGGTCACGGGACAGACTCAGCAGGTGCCATGGGTTGACTGCCGTGCCAGGCTAGGTGCATGAGGAGGTGGTCACGTGACAGACCCTGCAGGTGCCACGGTTTGTGCTGCTGTGCCAGGCTAGGTGCATGAGGAGGAGGAGGAGGTCACGTGACTATTACTTTATTTCTACCTACCCACGTGATGACTTCGCCGATGGAACCACAGTGCATGGATTTCTGCCGTCGCGAAAGCCTCGAATCGACGATTCGGCATTTTTATTGTCAACGATTTGCGAGCAACTCAATCATCAGGGACTCACTTTCACCAGTAGCCAAATAATAATAATAGTAATAATACTAATACTAGGGGTTTAAATTTTAATTTAAAGCTTTCGTGACTGCAGGGATGATTCATATTCGTGGTTCTTGCAGAAGGGGAAACAATAAAATAATAAAAATACGAAGAAAAAATATGTTTTTATAAAATAATAAAAATATAATGAAATAATAAAAATATAAAAGATTATTTTATATTTTTATAAAATAATAAAAACATAATAAAATAATACAAATATAAAGCATTTTTTATTTTTATAAAATAATAAAACAATAAAAATATAATTAAATAAAGATATAAAACAATTTTTTTTATTTTTATAAAATAATAAAAACATAATAAAATAATAAAAATATTTTAAAAAAAATTATATTTTGATATTCTTGGTTCTTTCGGTAAATTCACCACGTGGAAAAGGAAACAATAGAATAATAAAAATATAAAACAATAAAATTATTATTCTTGGCTCTTTCGGTAAAAGTCACCACCAAGTAGAAGGGAAACAATAAAATAATACAAATATAAAACAATAAAATTATTATTCTTGGCTCTTTCGGTAAAAGTCACCACCAAGTAGAAGGGAAACAATAAAATAATAAAAATATAAAAAAAAGAAATTATTGTAAAACAATAAAATAATAAAATATATATAAAACAATAAAAATTCTCACGACGTTTCGACCGTAACGCAAACAGTCATCATCAGGTGTGAAAACCACACACAGTGTACACACACACAGTGTACACACATACACAGTGTACACACACAGTGTACACACACACACAGTGTACACACACAGTGTACACACACACAGTGTACACACACACAGCGTACACACACACAGTGTACACACACACACAGTGTACACACACAGTGTACACACACACAGTGTACACACACACACAGTGTACACACACACAGTGTACACACACACACACGTGTACACACACAGTGTACACACACACACAGTGTACACACACAGTGTACATACACACACGTACATACACACACGTACATACACACACACAGTATACACACACAGTATACACACACAGTGTACACACACACAGTGTACACACACAGTGTACACACACACAGTGTACATACACACACACAGTGTACATACACACACACAGTGTACACACACACACAGTGTACACGCACAGTATACACACACACAGTGTACACACACACACACAGTGTACACACACAGTGTACACACACACAGTGTACACACACACAGTGTACACACATATAGTGTACACACACACACGTACATACACAGACACACAGTGTATACACACACACAGTGCACACACACACACAGTGTACACACACACAGTGTACACACACACACAGTGTACACATACACACAGTGTACACACACACAGTGTACACACACAGTGTACACACACACAGTGTACACACACAGTGTACACACACACAGTGTACACACACACACACAGTGTACACACACACAGTGTACACACACACACAGTATACACACACAGTGTATACACACACACACAGTGTACACACACACAGTGTACACACACAGTGTACACACACACACAGTGTATACACACACACAGTGTACACACACACACAGTGTACACACACACACAGTGTACACACACACACAGTGTATACACACACACAGTGTACACACACAGTGTACACACACAGTGTACACACACAGTGTACACACACACACAGTATACACACACAGTGTACACACACACACAGTGTACACACACACAGTGTACACACACAGTGTACACACACACAATGTACACACACACACAGTGTATACACACACACACACACACAGTGTACATACACACACACAGTGTACACATACACAGTGTACACACACACACAGTGTATACACACACAGTGTACACACAGACACACAGTGTACACACACACAGTGTACACACACACAGTGTACACACACAGTGTATACACACAGTGTACACACACACACACAGTGTACACACACACACAGTGTACACACACACACAGTGTACACACACAGTGTACACACACACACACAGTGTACATACACACACAGTGTACACACACACAGTGTACACACACAGTGTACACACACACAATGTACACACACACACAGTGTATACACACACACACACACAGTGTACATACACACACACAGTGTACACATACACAGTGTACACACACACACAGTGTATACACACACAGTGTACACACAGACACACAGTGTACACACACACAGTGTACACACACACAGTGTACACACACAGTGTACACACACACAGTGTACACACACACAGTGTACACACACACAGTGTACACACACACACGTACATACACAGACACACAGTGTATACACACACACAGTGCACACAGACACACAGTGTATACACACACACAGTGTACACACACACACAGTGTACACATACACACAGTGTACACACACACAGTGTACACACACACAGTGTACACACACAGTGTACACACACAGTGTACACACACACACACAGTGTACACACACAGTGTACATACACACACAGTGTACACACACAGTGTACACACACACACACAGTGTACACACAGTGTACACACACACACAGTGTACACACACACAGTGTACACACACAGTGTACACACACACACAGTGTACATACACACACACAGTGTACACACACACACAGTGTACATACACACACACAGTGTAGACACACACAGTGTACACACACACAGTGTATACACACAGTGTACACACACACACAGTGTACACACACACAGTGTACACACACACACAGTGTACACACACAGTGTACACACACACACAGTGTACACACACAGTGTACACACACACACAGTGTACATACACACACACAGTGTACACACACACAGTGTACACACACACAGTGTACACACACACAGTGTACACACACACAGTGTACACACACACAGTGTACACACACAGTGTACACACACAGTGTACATACACACACACAGTGTACATACACACACACAGTGTACACACACACACAGTGTACATACACACACACAGTGTACATACACACACACAGTGTACACACACACACAGTGTACACACACACACAGTGTACACACACACACAGTGTACACACACACAGTGTACACACACACACAGTGTACACACACACACAGTGTACATACACACACAGTGTACACACACACAGTGTACACACACAGTGTACACACACACACAGTGTACACACACAGTGTACACACACAGTGTACACACACACACAGTGTACATACACACACAGTGTACACGCACAGTATACACACACACAGTGTACACACACACAGTGTACACACACACACAGTGTACATACACAGTGTACACACACACACAGTGTACACACACACACAGTGTACAACACACAGTGTACACACACACACAGTGTACACACACAGTGTACACACACACACACAGTGTACATACACACACACAGTGTACATACAC